CTTGAAATGTTCCCATCGTTCAAGTGCATTTGCATCAGCCAGGCCTGGAAGGGTTTCCTGAAGCACTTGGTCAAATTCCTCCACATTTCTTTGATTGCAAGTCTTGCTGATGTCAGTACATGGTCTTCCTTCCTTTTTTGTGTGATACAGTCTCTTTGTTCGCAGTTTTACTGTACTGCACACCAGGGAGTGATCAGTATCGCAATCAACGCTCTGTGATCATAATACTAGGAAGGCTAGAACGTCTAGTGAGGATCAAATCGAGCTGATGCCAATGCTTCAATCTTCGATGTCTCCAGGAAACTCTGTGTTAAGGCTTTGTGTTAAAGAATGTGTTGCTGATACAAAGACCATAATAACAGCAAAACTCCAGCAAGTGTTGGCCATTTTCGTTCATCTTCCCAACGCCAAAATGGCCAGGAAAAGTGGGCCAAGAATTGTGATCAGCACCAACTCTAGCGTTAAAGTCTCCGAGAATGAACAGCGGCTCTCTCTCAGGGACTTTTTTGACAGTAGCTGTCAGATCATCAAAGAATTTTTCTTTGACTTCTTTTGTGGACGACAGTGTTGGTGCATATGCACTAATGATATTAATCTTCTCTCTCCTGTATTTGTCATGATTTAAAATAGGAGACAAGCATTCTTTTTCAGGATTTAATCCTGGCATTCGGATCTTGAATGCCGTAAAATCAGGCCCTGGTCACACAAGAGAAATGTTCTCTTGTTCTTCCAATACTTGCCATTCTTCTGTTGTACTAATTCTCGGTCACGTAGCATATATACCAAGGTTAACACCCCAAGAATATGTCCTCTGTTGCGCTGGCTGCTCCTGCATAATCACATTGGTCTGTCTACTTCCCCTACCATCTCCTCTGCCTTTCAGCTTGATCTGCCATTTCTTTTCCCCCCATGCAACCCCCTCCCTGCAACTGTCTCCTCACAATGACTGGCAAAAAGCGCCATGTCAGAATGCCAGTACTGCAGCAGTGGCTCAAATTGCTCTGAGACATACTTTAACTAATGTATTGGCCGTAAAATTTTTTTTAAATGCCCTGCAGTAATGGTGGCCACCTTCTTGGCTTCAATTCTGAAAACAAGCGGAGCAGGTTGTACACACCACCAATTCTGGTGAGGAATGCACTGATACAACAGATGTACAAAATAGCACTATCCTCCCAGGGAGTGGAAAATAAACTGCAGTTACTCCGCTGGCTGAGAAAATGTTTTAATTTTGACTGTGTGTTGTGTGATTGGACAAAAAAAAGCAACAATCTAACTGAAGGATAGCTAGAGAACATTTCCCTTGTGTGACTAGGGCCTCAGTTTCTTGACTGCACTGAAGCAGGGAGCATGCTGGAAGTAGAAAAGCTCTTGTTTTGCCAATATTTGCCATTTGCCATTGTGTACTATGACAAGAATGTTTGTCATCAGTAGGGAAAGTAGATGACTTTCAACAGTATTGTAGGACATACAGTGCTAGAAACCCTACAGTTTCTGAGAAAACAATATAGCACATATGTTTCCTGAAAATTAAGAAGAAACACGCTTTTTTGGCAAGGAAAATAGGTTTGCTTGGTTCTTCTTTCAGGTTGCACTCTACTGAATCAGCAGCGTTAGCCACTTCCACAGTCCCTGAATTGATGCTATATAGCAGAGCCATTTAGATTTTTAACTCCTCCTGGCTGGCCAACTGTATGAAATAAAATGTGCAAGTTTAATTTGGCCTCCTTTGCAAAGCCATACAGTTTGTCAAGCTGTGGTTTTTCTGTATTTTGCTTTGTTTTGAAATACCTGGGAGAAGGATTTAAACTGTATTTCTTCTATATATCATACTCTAGTTGCAGCACATTGAGAATAAACTGGAAGTATCGCCTGCAAGCACAGGTGTTTGTTGTTCTGCCATGGACAGCAAAAAAACATCATCCAGAAAAATAAGTAGGAAAGGTAAATATTATTCTAGGAGGCCCCTTTTACTGGTGGGTTTGTGGGTATTCAGTGTTCTCATTTGGGTTGCCTTTTGCACACAACCCACATATTGGGAATGAGAAGACTGAAAGGGTTTATACAAAGAAGCAGAGTTCCCATCTTGTATCACAGTACAGGTTAGGATTTATGAATTCCTGTAATAAGGAAGAACTTTTTAAATATATTTCTGTTTGAGTGCTGTCATTACTGACTGAAGTCTACGAGGCACTCTAAAGAGGAAGATAAAAGGTCATTTGCAGTGATTCTATGTATCTTTCAACCTGTTTTTTGTTTGATGGGAATTATATTTTGAAGCTTTGGAAGTCAGTAACATCCATCGTTATCTTATTGCTTGAGTTAGGGTGGAGAAATGTGTTTCTCTCCAGCTGGTGTTGGATTGTAGTCTTCACCAACTCTAGCCGCCTTAGACACAGAGAAAGTTGCACTCCAGCAACATCTGGTGGCCAACACATTCACTGTTTCCTTTTCGGGTGATAGTTATTTTTGTGGCAGAGTATCAAAAACTTTGAAAGTTGTGTTATAATGATAAATATTTTAATCATTTATCAGAAATTCTGAATACGTCTAACAATACCTCCTTTTGGTTGCAGAATGTTCTTCCAGGGATGCTAGCAATAATTAAAAATTAATTAAAAGTCAATCCAATTTAAATAATTTAAAACAAACAAATTCTGGCGTAGAAAGACAGTTTTTCTATTTACTGTGCAGGGCCGGATTCAGACCTTTAGAGGCCCCAAGCACTGAAAAGATTATGTTGCCCTCTATGAATATAACACATGGAAGGTCCTACGGCTTGAAAAAAAATGCCCACAAAAAGAACCATGTATTGTATGCAAAATCATATGTACAATCAAATTACCGGCTGTAGACAGATTTTGTCAGAGTCTGTAAACTGAAAAGCTGAAGCAAGAGCTTTTGTTTTAATCAGTGACTGTTATTTCTTTGGCTTACACGTATAATATAGAGGCCATGTCAGCTCTTTTTATCCTTATAACCACCCAGCCTCCCAAAATACCAGTAAAACCAGTAAACAATGATTATGATAATTGATTATTGTGTTTCCAAACAAAATAATCAAACAATGATAATAATTATTTCCCTGAAAACAGGTTTTCTGACTAGATGAGTCTTCCTTTTAGTTTTTACTGGTTCATACTCAATTGCTTTAGACAGAGAGGTGGTTTTCTTGGGACCCTTGAGGGAGGGAGGGACAGAGCCAAGGGATTTGGATGGATGGATGTGGTTTGTTAAGGAGGGTGCACCATTTGCACCATGGTCCCTGGTAACTGCAGCACTGAAATCAAATTCTGTGGTGGCACCTTCCCTTGTTAATGCCCTAAGCACATTCTTATTTTGCTTGTTGGTTAATCTGGGCCTGTTGCTGTAGGAGAAAATCATCCCATATTCTGGTGGGTGAGGAATGCGCCTAAGTAGGGTTTCTCTAGAAGTGCTGAGAGTACAGTAAGAAAACTAATGAACACTGGCTGTCTGACCATGGGATAGTGGTCAACCTGTTCTGGACAGGTTTGTCCATCCCCATCCCATCATGGGTTTTTCCACCTGGGAGTGATATCAATTCTTAGCAACTAGTAATGCTTTGTCTCGTGTGCCTGATGTGACCCTTTCTAGGCAAAGAAATGCATGCACAAAAATCTTTAGGTTAAACTGTAAAATTAAAAACAGAATTGTTAGCATCTAGGTTTATATATAAGGGAGAAACATTATGACATCAAAGAACTCTGAAGAATTCTGAGTTTGTAACTGTCTGTTTCAGCCTGAGCTGCTGGTCTGCCAGCATTTACATCTTTTGGATAGATCCTTACTTTACATATGTGTCTTTGCCCTAGCCAGTGGGGGTGTTTCCAATATTAGGATCACTTTTGCTTCAGAGTAAGACTTTGGTAAAGGCAAAGCTCCAAGGAAGAATTCAGATGTTGGACATACCCTTGTCATTTGGAAGTAGAGCCCATTTGTGGTTTATTGGCATAAGCCAACAGTGGAGGACATGTGGTTTCAGTGCCATATTTTAGGGGCCAAGGGCACTCCTGAAAATTGTACTGTCAGCAGTTTCCACTAATAAATTTCAGCAGCAAATTTCAGTCCACTAAAAATGCTTCAGGCAGCTTATGGGAATTGGGGACCAAGGTATCTGTGAACGTTTAAATTGGACTCAAGACTTGATGAAGTTGTCCATACCAAGTATACACAAGAGTAATAATGATAATAATAATAACAATGATAAGAAAAAGATGAAACTGGTCATTATACAAAAATGTAACTTACCAGCCTCCAAAAACCCATGGGAACATCAGATAGAAAAGGGGTCAGAAAATGAGGAAGTCAAGATCTTGTGGGATTTCTGGATCCAAACAGATAGACAGCTTGAACATAACACAGCAGACATACTAGTAATGGAACAAAGAAATGTCTGGATCATTGACATTGCAATTTCAGGGGATGGCACAGTTGAAAATAAAGAATTGGAAAAATTAACAAAATACAGTTTTTCCAATTCTCACTTGTGGATGAAACACACTTCAGTGGTCCCCGTGGTCATTGGGGCTTTGGGAACAATATAAAGAAATTTCAGAAAGTACTATAAGTAGTTGCAGATCTCAGAAATACACCAAAAGAGCTACAAAAATCAGAAATATTCAGAACAGTATATATACTGCACCGATATTTAATACTGTAGATATTTAGGTCTTTGGTTAAAACTTGTATCTGTTATATAATACCAGTCAATGTTTTTATAATTTTGACTGTGCCTGGTGTTTTTTTAACAATAACAATAAATAAAAATATTCACTTGGTGTTTTTGAATCATCATCATCATCATCATCCATCATGTGAATTCTAACTTACGGCAGTAGTTTTCTAGGTAGAGAATATTCCGAAATGGTTTACCATTCCCTTTGATGGGGGCACTCTGGGCCTGTGCAGCTTGCTCAAAGCCACAGAGCTTGGCTCTATTTTGCAGGAGGCATACTGGGAAAATCAGACTGCCAACCTCTGGCCATGTAGCCAGATACCTATATCTCTGAGCTACCCAACGAGCTCTTAGGGTTTTCAAGTAAATGGCTCAGAAGACTATGGTTACCTTCCCTGTCATTTTAATTCATATTTTTAATCCTTTAAATATTCCTTTTCCTAAGGCATCTGTGAGCAAGAATATGGGTAAATTTCAGCAGAAATTTTCCTACAAAATGCTGATCTCATTTTTTTTAGTAATTTCATGGAATTCACGTGGTATGAATATTTTCTTAATTTCGTGGTGGATGCTGTCATCACAGTGCTGCTCCTTTTTTTAGACTGGTAGCAATTTACGTGTTCTAAGTTCTAGTGGAAAAAAAAAAGAATTTTAACCTCTTGAGTAGGATTGTATCAAAAGTTCATTGAGCTGTTTTAAAACTGCTGTTACCTTTTGAAATAGTTCCTTTAGCATAAGTATAATTTTGGTCAATAAAAATAAAGGGATGATGTTTATCTAAATCAGTTTTTTAGATTTGAAGAATGTTTATGCATGGGAAATATGTTCCCCTTTGCTTTTACCACAGCTTTCTAGAAATCGTAATTTTGGCCAACACATAAAGCCTGGGACCAAGATTATTGATCTTTGATTCATAATAGCATTAAGAAGTGTCTTATTTGAAGAAAGTGTATTATATTTTACACCTCTTATTTTTACAAAATAATTTTTAAAAAGTCACTGCACCATTTTATTTGATTGTTGTGACGTGTTTCTTTGTTTCTGAAAGGATAAAACTCATCGTTAAATATACTGAAATATAATTTATTAATTTTTACCACTATTCTTTAGTATTAGTTGAACCTCCACAAAGACATTTAGGAGATTGCTTTCCTTCTGCTTCAGCTTACAGGATGCCCACCCAAAAGAAGGAGAGAGCCCCGCGCAGCCCTCTGCAGACTAACACTTTGGATAGTAATGTAAAAAAGTTTGGACGTATTGAATTTTGTGAGCCCTTGGTTTCTTTCAGGTAAGTTGAAGGAAAATCTTTTTGCTAACTCCTTATTATGGAATTAAACCAGGATGGATTTGATTTAAATCACAATTTAAATTTTAAGAACTGGATTGTTTTTAACAATTTAAATTTAAAAAAATATCAAATTTTAATTTAAATCGTGATTTAAATCAATGTGATTTTTATCCACCCTGAATTAAGCAGTACAACTCTTTTCCCTAAGTGTCTCATTTTTATTACTTTGATTTATATTCCACTTTTCAGTCCAGAAGGATGCCTGAATTGCCCTGGCCTAAAGCATGAAATTCAGTGCTCCCAAAAATCCTCTGGTTGATGAATGTGAGGTATTGCCAACATTGGTAGGTTTCACATAGGAAAAGCTGGCATGAGTGTTGATTACACCAGTGTCAGAAGTCAAATAGTTATAGCTCTGGTTCCCAACCTTTTTCAAGTTGCAGCCTCATTTTATAATAGGCAAGTAACCTTCAATCCCCCACCATGTTTCCATAAAAAGGCATTTAATGGGGTAAAGAGAACACATTTTTTCAGAATGTAATTCAAAACTAATACAGTATTTAATATTTTAAGTGATGGTTGTACTTGCATCTGGGCAACCAGCTTCAACATTCATGGCTGAGTGTTTGTTAGAGCCAACCTCATGTCATTCTCAATATCTAGTGTGCTTCTTACGTTTGCTTTGATATGAGGAATCATTGAAAATCTACTCTCGCAGAGATATATAGAGGCGAATGGAAGTCAAAAGGCAAGCATTGTGACAATTGCATATGACTGATACATACACCAGAATTCAGTCTGTGATTTGTCATAAAACAAATCCATGCCACAGATCCAAGAATTCATCCTGTACTAAAGAATTCATCCTGGGGATGCAAGTAGATAATGGACTTTGTACCAATGCAGCAGCAGCTTCTGTAATCTGAGGGAAGCACCACTGATATTCCTTTTCATAGGGTTCAAGTTGCTCAGTAATTTCCTCTTTCTGATTCTCATCCAATTATCCTCCAGATTCCGTTATGAAACTGCAGAATTTTTCAAACATTTTTCAAACATACAGATATAAACTGACTTTAATGTCCCACTCCAAAAGGGCAAGGAGGAAATTATTTAACAGGGACTGCAACACATACAAGGTAATCTGTGACCTCCCAGAAAACACTTTGTGACCTCCTTGGGGTCATGACTCCCATGTCAGGAAACTTTGGTCTATAGGATCCCCTCTTTTGCTCACTATCATTTAGAAAGAGACATCAAGCAAAGGGATTTCCCAGATTTGGACTCTTTTCTTTGTCAGTTAACCGCTTCTCACCCAAATATCAAACTTTGGGTCCCTTGTTGGGAGAAATGTGGCATTATTATTAAATAATAATAATAATAATAATAATAATAATAATAATAATAATAATAATAATAATAATAATAATAATAATAATAATAATAATAATAATAATAATAATAATAATAATAATAATAATAATAATAAAAATAAATAAATAAATAAATAAATAAATAAATAAATAAATAAATAATGAATGTGAATGGCGTAGATTTTGTGTGCTGTGCCTGTCCCAACCTAAGACCTACAGACAGAGACAACTCGGTTTTCATATCTTCGTTGTTGTTTAGTTGTTAAGTCGTGACCCCATGCACCAAAGCACGCCAGGCCATCCTGTCTTCCACTGCTTCCTGGAGTTGGGTCAAATTCCTGTTGGTAGCTTCGATGACACTGTCCAACCATCTTGTCCTCTGTCGTCCCCTTCTCCTCTTGCCCTCACACTTTCCCAACATCAGGGTCTTTTCCAGGGAGTTTTATCTTCTCATGAGATGGACAGAGTATTGGAGCCTCAGCTTCAGGATCTGTACTTTCAGTGAGCACTCAGGGTTGATTTCCTTCAAAATGGATAGGTTTGTTCTCTTTGCAGTCCAGGGGACTCTCAAGGGTCTCTTCCAGCACTACAATTCAAAAGCATCAATTCTTCGGCCATCAGCCTTCTTAATAGTCCAGCTTTCACTTCCATACATCACTACTGGAAAAACCATATGTGATGTTTACCACGTGGTCCTTGCTTGTTTCACCAAACAAAAGGAGCTCACGCTATGTCCTCTCACCAGGAGATATCAATTGTGACATTCCCTCTTTTTCTCACTGCCACCAGTGGATTTCCTTTATCCACAATGTAAAAGACTTCAGTCAGACACTTGTCTGGTTACTACCAACAGAACTTGTTCATTGAAGTCATTAAATTCAATCAGAATCACAGATGTTCTTTATTCAGTGCATACAATCAAATCATTAAAGCATCCTATATCTTCCCACATACTCAGTCACCACCTGCTTTATCTATTAACCTTGACCAGCTTAGTACTGTATATTTTCTCCCTATCTCCCTGACTCTCTATCTCTCTCACTCTGCAACTTCTATATCTCTCATTTTCTCTGCAACTTCTATCTCTCTCTGCCAAACCTTCTTATATCCGCTGTCATACACCCCCAGTTCCCCTGTTTGTTCTTCCACACAACCCAGGTTCACTTTTGGGTATGACATTTACTTTTCAACCCTTTTCGCTGCCACCAGAGGACTTATTCCTCACTCTATCAAATATGACTCTTAAATTAGTGTTATTCCATAAAACAATGTTTATTTAAGTGTTTATAAGTAAATCATATAAAGTAAATCATGGATGGTCGTATTTTATTCATTCAATAAACTGTGCTTTTATAACATTTATATTTGCTTATGTATAATCATGTTAATCAATTCATTTCTTATCTTGTTATCTATCTCTCTATTCTTGTCTAACACAAGACTGGTCCTAACTGCCTAAACTGCTTCTCTCTAGCTAATATCCTTAACTGAAATCCCTAACTCTAACTCATATCCCTAACTCATCCCTAACTGATCTTTAACTGTCTTCCATTCTTCTTATATTTTCTTAGTTCCGCCTCTTCTGTTCACCCATTGGTTGTTAAATCAGGGTTCCATTGTGATGGACAGGAATGGTTACTGACCTGTCCGACACATACCTCCCCCCTTGGAAAAGTTTGTATCATGGGGGTAAACGCTATAGTGATTTACCCTCATGTACAACATATGAGAGAATATTTTATTATACACACCTTCTTTAAACATTGAATAGTTATACATTTTATACTTATGCATTTTCTCTATTACCTCTTTTAACCTTTTTTCATTTTACTTTTCATTACATGTACAGTGTGGCGGGCCACTCTGATGCCTCTACCCAGACAGGCTTCCAAGAGTGCTCACTACTATTCTTCACTTGCTGCCACCAACCTATCCTTAGTACTCACAAAGGACAAGTTTTTCTTTCAAACAAATAAAGTGTTTATTGATTTGTACAAAATAAAAAGGGTGAATCACAGGTAATAAATCAAGTTGTTAATCACGTTTCTCAATTACTAGATCACACAGACTTTTCCCTCACTGACTATCTCTCTCAAATCTATCTCCTTCTCTCAATCAACTTCTCTCATCTTTTCAAACTCCCCAAAACTCCCCCTTTCACACATCACACACACCTTATATAATCCAGTTCCTCCCCCTTCTGCATCACCCTCCGTCCTCTCATTGGCTGAGGTTCCCCTGCCCAGCTGTGATGGACAGGTGAGAGCAGAGCTGTATGCCACATACAGGATCACCATTTTTATTACTTATATCATTACATATTTAACATCTATTACATTTATATTTTCATTTATTTATTACTTATCATCAATTTTAACACTACATTGCATAATGCTACATTACTAAATTGCAAAACATAACCAGAACCTTTGATTAGTTTCACTTCTAATATTTGTTATTATAAGTTTTTTTCTTTTCTTCCTCTTCCGTCTTCTTGTACCACTTCTCATTGCTTTCTGTTATCCGTTAGGTCTTCGAGACCATGCATCTGCAATCTTATTCTGAGTCTTTCTTTTGCTTTGGGTGTCACCATCAAAGTGTTTCAGATTTAGTGTCCATCTTGCATGTTTGTTGGTTTTAGGTTTCACAGTTCGCAACCTCACATAAAGTTTCTTTCTTTGCAATGTCCGGTCAATCAACAATCTTCTCTTCCATTTGCCAATTAATGTCTCACCTGCTCTGTCCTTCTTGTCCGCCTGGCTCCGCACGGCTCCTGGTTCAAATCCTCCCACAGCGATGATGGTGAAGTCACCCCAGAACTCTGGACCTCTCACAGTGTGACTTCTGTGGACGCGACGGCATCTCTGGACACAACGACCTCTCTGGATTCGACATCTCTGGATACAACGACATCTCTGGATACTACATCAACCTCTCTTTACTGAAGTCTGCAGTTTTTCTAGGGTCTCTTTACATCTGCTCGACCTCTGGATCTTTTTTTCTTTTAGCTTTTATAATTTTTAAAGGAGAGGCTATACATCTGACATTTCTTTCCCAACACTGGGTATAGCCTGCTATCCTTATCATAGCTTTCACTCTGTCCTCTTTTATTTTTCCTATGACTAGAGTAAATTTATTTAATACTTCTTTCCATTTTGTCTACTTCTTTAATTTAGATGCACCTTTAACTTTACAGTGGGGTCTTGACTTAAGAACGGCTTGAGTTAAGAACATTTTGACTTAAGAACCACTCTCATAGGAAAATATTGACTTGACTTACATACTTAGATTTGAGTTAAGAACTAAAAAAAACCACGTGGGAGGCAGGGAAAGTGCAAAATTTGAACTTTCAGTTAACCGTTGGCCAGTGAAAAGGGTGCCTGTCTGCTTCCTCACTCCTCCCAGCGTTTAGAGAGTGGATTGGGAGACAGTCTTCAGACTGCCTGGTACTGTACTGCCTGGACTGTATTTTCCATGCCTTCCCTGAACCTTTCTTGACCTAAGAAAAAAAGAAACAAAATATCCCCCTCTAGTGGTCAAAGGCGGAATAGCAGCTTCCCATTAGTTTCTATGGACGGAAAAGAGCAGATACGGATCAAATGGTTTTCAATGCATTCCTATGGGAAATGC